CACTGGAAGTCAGCAATCAGTACAAAGATCAAGTATCTAACTTTAAGATGCCATCCATTCTAAACCACACAACTATTTTAAATAGCACCAGTAAAGAAAAGAAATGGTGCCAGTTAAACTATGACATGCTCAAATATTCTGAGACTTAAGGTGTATAAAGAATAAACAGGTAGCAATTTATTTTATACCCAGGTGTGTGCAAGAAATAATAACAAAAATGTCTAATTTATGGGTTTTATTTTTTTAGTCGTAGATGGACACAATACCTTATTTTATTTATTTATATGTGGTGTTAAGGTTCAAACCCAGTGCCTCACACATGCTGCTAGGCAAGTGCTCTACACTGAGCTATAGCCCCAGCCCTAATTTATAGGATTTTAGAATTAGATTAGAATAATGGTCCACAACAGCATGTAAATCAGGAAAGGGTTGATCACAATAATGTTCTAAAGTACCTTGTTATTAAAGATAGCATCATGTCACCACATAATTTTAGATTGTATTGAGTATGCTCTGAAAAAGCTGAAGAATAAATACAGGGAAATATAATGTAAAATTTCTAAACAAAGAGGGAGAAACAGCATCTAAGACACTAACAACACAGAAACCAACAGTCCATCAAGTGAGAAAAAAACAACACTTAAAGAAACTATAAATATCAGAAATAATATGGCAGAAAAGTTAACGATACTTTAGAAATACTAACAAACATAAATGGGATGAACTTGCCTCAAAAGGCTTCTGCCTTTTGACAAGGGTTTATTTGGCTTAATAAAATTCAAAGCTAAAACATAAACACATGGAAAGATAGGAAGTAAAAGGACTGAAAAATATGCAATAAATAATACCCCAAACAAAGCAAAGGTGATTACTGACAACAAAGAAAACAGGTGTTAAGACAAAAGCACTGCCATTAAGGAAGTCCCTTCCAGGATGACATAAGAATTACTTGAATTTCACTCAATAAAATGCATTGACTAAAAATGATTAAAACAGAAGAAATTGACAAAACTACTATTACAAAGAGAGAATGTGAACATCTTTGATAGGTCAGGTAGACAAAAGTTAGCAAAGATTTGAAAGATTTGAACACCATGATTAAATCTGATTCAAAGACATAGTAAACAATAACTAGAATAAAAACTTTCTTAAGCACATGGAGGATACTTAAAAATTCCTTGCCTCTTCCAGGCTGGAAACACAGATATACTCTCTCCTTGGATGTCTCATCTTGTGGCTAGTGACATTGCTTGGCTGTGTCCACACCACTTTGCTCTCTGCCTCTGTGGTCACACTGACTTCTCTCCTTTTTGTAAAACAATTATACCAAAATACAATTATCCTACTCTTTTATTAAAGACACTTGGGGGCTGAGGCTGTAGCTCAGTGGCAGAGCGCTTGCCTTGCACACATAAGGTACTGGGTTCAATCCTCAGCACCACATAAAAATGAGATAAGAACAAAAATAAAGATATTGTGTCCATCTGTAACTAAAAGATTTTAAATTTTATACACACATATCTATGTATGTACGTGTAAAAACAAAAAAAGGACACTTGGGATTGCATTTAGGATCCATCTGGATAATCCAAGAAAGTCTCTCCATCTTCAAGCCCTTAACTTAAATCACTCTGAAAAGACCCCTTTTTCCATGTAAGGTAACATGCTCAGGGCTAGTGTTTAGGGAGGGAGATACACACACACACACACACACACACACACACACACACACACACACTTTATGCCTGGTTGGGCTCTAAGTAATTTAAGTGTATTAACTTATGTTCTCAACAATCTATGAAATGGTTTCACTTTTTGGGTGGCAAAGTCAAGGCAGAGAAAAATCACAATAATTTGCCTAAGCTATATCATACTCACATGTTTTTTGCCCACAAAGCAATTAATTAGAACAAGAAAAATTTAACTATTTTGAAATAAATTGATTTACAGTAAATTTGCAAACAGTACAAAGAATTCACACATACCTTCACCTAGATTCTCCAAATGTTAACATTTTACATTTGCTGTACCATTTCCTTTATATATAATTCACTGACTTCTTTTTCTCTCGAGATTCAGGTGCATGTACAATGTTCCATTATCCCTAAATACTGCAGTGTGTATTTCCTAAAGGAAGACTTTTTCTTAAAACAATTATACCAAAATATAATTATCAAAACTTGAAAAATCAATATTGACAGCATGCTTTTTTAACTTACAGATTTTACTCAATTTTCACCAATTATTTCAAAAATGCCCCATTGAACAAAAGCCGAAAAAATTTCATCTGGATCAGAATTCACTCCAGGATATGTGTTGCATTTCGTTGTCCCATCTTTTTAGTCTCATTTAACTTTAAACTTTTGACAAGCAGCAACTGCTAACTCCGAGAGCATTCCTTGATTTAGCTTTATCTGGCATTGCTTACTGACTAGGTTCAGGTCATGCATTTTGGTCAGGAAGAGCACATCAGTGCTTCGTGTCTCCAGGGCATCTCATCAGGACACATAAACACACACTGTCTTACTAATGGTAATATTAACATTTGTTTTTTAAAAAATATTTTTCAGTAGCTATAGATGGATACAATACCTTTATTTTATTTATTTATCCTATGTGGTGCTCAGGATTGAACTCAGGACCTCATACGTGCTAGGCAAACAAACCTTCTACCACTGAGCCACAACCCCAGCCCAATGTTTGGTTCTTTAAAAAAAAAAAAAAAAAAAAATATATATATATATATATATATATATATATACACACACACACATAAGTTTTGCACACTTAAAACACATTTTTAAATAATTCACAGGTCAGAGGAATCATCATGTTCATATTAGCAACTGAAAAACAATAAAAAAGTGTGTGTATCTGTGTATATACATACATTTATATTCACACACATAATTGTGAGATGTAGCAAAGGAGATAATTCAAATACATTTAGATACTTATTCAAGAAAAAAATTGAACATGAATGATATCTAACTAATGAAATAAGAAAAAGTAAACAGAATAAACTATCAACAAGCAGCATATGAAAGAGAAGGGCAGAGAAATAATCAAGTCAAAATTTCATTCTTAAAATGGACAAACTTCTGGCCAATGGTCAAGAAAAAGAAAGACGACACAAATATCAGAAAAGAAAATATTAAGTACATATTCAGTGAAGTTTAAATAAGACATTTATTTCCCTGAGCTACTTTATGCTAATACATTTATGTGTGTGTGATAAGTGACTACTTAGAATATTTTTCAAAATTGATTCAAGAAAAATTAGAAATCCTGAATAGTCTAATTATCATTAAAGAAACTATCAGTAGTTAAAAGTCTCCTCACTAATAAATACTAGGACCAGATAGTTTTAGAAACTTTCAAAGAATAGGTCGTTCCATTTTTTTATACTTCTCAAGAGTACAGTAAAATAGGCCATGCTTCCCAAATTATGTAATGAAATAATTATAATCTTGATAATAAAACCAGACCAAAAAATGAGAAAGATTTCACAAATCTATTTACACAAACCCAAGTAAAATACTAGCAAACTAAATTCAGCCATGCAGAAAGATGTTCAAGAATGTAAAACTGCTTCATTATTAAATGGTTATAACTAAAATATATTATGAAACAAAATGCTCAGGAAACATATCACTTAGTGTGTATGTCAGTGTGTGGGCTGGAAACACAGATATACCTCTCTCCTTGGACATCTGCACTAGCTGGTTTGACTGAAAGGCTTCCCCAGGTGGCTGAATTCATGGCCACCACAAACAAGGCTTCTACCTCTGTCTCATCCACACTGCTTCCCCATCCTCCTTACCCTGCTTCATTTTCCCCCGTAGCACACATAGTACTCAAAAAAATTTAACGGACAGTACATCTAGAAACTTTTGTAATGTGGAAGTTAAGCTTGCTTATATCCTTTCGGGATGGCCATTTGTATTATCCATTTGGTTTACGTTTTCATGACACGGAGAATGGACATAGTTGTAATACACCATTCACATTAAAAATTATTTGTGTCCATGCTAAATACAATATTATATTTCTAGATGCCTCCAAATATATCTCAGTAGAAAAAAAGAATTATATTTCTATGTTAGTAAGCTTTACAATACTATGACAAAATGTTTAACAAAATCAAAAGAGGAAGAATTTATTTTCGCTCATGGTTTCAGAGGTTTCACTTCATAGTTGGCTAGTTCCATTGCTTTGGGACTGAAGTGAGGCAGATAGTTAGGTGAGGGCCCTGGGTGAGGGTGGAGGAAAGCTGCTTACCTCATGGTAGCTAGAAAGCAGAGAGACAAGACAAAGTCTCCAAGGGCATGCCCTCAAGGATTCACTCCCTCCAATGAGGTTTCACCTCCTATAGTTTCCACCACGTTCCAAAAGTCCTTTCAGCTAGGAATCCCTCAATGGGCTAATTCACTGATGAGGTCACAGTCATCACAATCCAATCCTTTTCCCCAAACCCCACTCTGAACACTGTTGCATTGGGGACCAAGCCTTCAACATATGCATCTTTGGGGGGGGGTGACACACTTCATATTCAAATGTAACAACTTTCAATGAAGGAATTTAAATTGTCCATACTTACATGTTTTACACAATGAAATGAGCAGTACAAATATGCTAAAGATATTAGAATACCACAAAGTAAAAAATTTTAAACTAAATTGTTTCCAACATACTGAAAAGCTTCAATCATTTGCTTTCACACTGGTAAACTACAGAGTAAAGTAAAAGAATGCAGACCACTGAAATCTCAGCTTACTTCTGGTGTCAATGGAGATAAGTAATTATAGTACTAAAGCTCATTTCATTCCTAGAAAATAATATCACAGTAAATCTTTTACACATTGAATCATATTCGGATTAACATTCACTATATAAAGTTCAGTTCTATTATTACATTTCAATGAAATAAGTAGCAAATGAGAACTTATAATTCATCTTTTTAGGGCAAGACCATTTGATAAAATGGAAGACTAACAATATCACTTCACAGTTATTTATTCTAAGCGCTTGTGGGACTCACATTAGGGCAATCAGAATTGTACAAACCTTTGTTTTAAGACACTTTCTCTAATGCCAATTGAGATATATTTTGCATGTCTGTGCAAACTATTTTCTAACTGGGATAACAGAAGAAGCATTTTGTATCTTGCAGTATACTGGTCTTGCCAACCAATTCCTCATGTATTTATCCCCAAGTCCTATCTTCCACCTTTCCACAAAAACAACCATGCCAATCAACCAATGTGTGAAAGCACATAAAATACTGTCCAAGTCATTGTGGTGTTACCATCTCTGTAATAAGAGGAGAGAGGGGGGAAAAGGCAAAGGATGTGTTTTAAATTGAATAAAGCTACGTTTATTTAAGTGACTATCCTTTATTCTTGTATTATGTTCTTCCTACTTTTTGAGTGCTAAAATAGCTTTTCTTTTCCATGATGATTCTGATATAATATGGTAATTTTTAATATTTATTTTTTAGTTGTAGTTGCACACAATACTTTTATTCTATTTATTTATTTTTATGTGGTGCTGAGGTTCAACTGAACTTTGAACCCAGGACCTTGCGTGTGCTAGGTGAGTACTCTACCTCTGAGTCACAACCCCAGCCCAGAAGATGGTAATTTGTGTGTGTTTTTTTTCCTTCTTTTTAAGTCCTGAACTGTCAAAATTAATAGCCAGAAGCACTTAACCCAATTTATTTTTTTTTTCTTTTTACAAATTTACTGGTGCTTAAAACTAGGAGACACAGCCTAGATAAAGGCCCACCTTTCTGTGCTGCGTATTTCACAGTATTGAATTCTTCCTCAATGACATCCCTATAGATTTTGAAGCAGGATAAAAGTCAGTCTTGTCTTATGTAAGCCAACATAAATATGATCTTAAGTTTCTAGAACAAAAAAAATATGCTTTCATTCAACCCATGGTTATATCACCTTTTATTAAAGCTAATTGTATCAGTACTATAGGGTTCCAATTTAAGAAGTACAATGCCATTTCCATGATAGCCATTATTATTTAAGTAGTCTGTTTTCATACATGTGAGCAATATTGGTGCAAAGCGAAAACAAAGAAGGCTGGGGTCTGTGCAGGTCCTGAGTTGGGGTGTCAGTGGTACCATAGGGATGGTCAGCCTCAATGTACATTTTGGTCCATTTATCTTTTTTTTTTTAATATACCTTTATTTTTTTAAACTTCGTTTTTAAAAAACTTATTTTGTATTAGTTCTAATCAGTTCTACATGACAGCAGAAAGCTTTTCGATTCATTGTACGCTATTTAGTTTTTTTAATGTGGTGCTGGGGATCGAACCCAGGGACTCATGCGTACTAGGCAAGCACTCTACCACTGAGCCACAACCCCAGCATTGGTCCACTTATCTTTATAGTTCAATCATACCGCACAGTTTCAGTATTTACATTTGTGTAAACTGAGAAGAAATAACATGTTATAATAAAGCTTATTTTAGTGGGCTTTACGTGTCAGAAATAATTCCCTCTTTCATGATTATACTTTTTAGAAGGAATAGTTCCATATAAACATATAAATTGGTATATACATTTAGAAAACCTTATAGAGATCTATGTAAATTACAGTTTGGCCACCAAAAAGCAAATTAATTCCCCATTTTTTCAAAATCATTACTGTCACCAACAAGCAAATTAATTAATCCCCATTCCCTCAAAGTGAGTAAAATTTAAAAAAAAAAAGAAAAAAAGAATTGCTAGTGATTGTATTTTATGGTATGTTTTTAGAGAAAATATAATAATGATCACTGACTTTGGGGCCAGATGGAACAGATGGCTTTTATGTTTGTCATTCTGTGATTTGCTATAATCATGTTTTTTCCTATTAAATTGTTCTTGGTAATATGAGTTCTACATCCATTTTATATGAGTGTTTATATTAAACTTCAAAATTAGTTCTGGTGGAATCCAGAACATGTGTCGGGAACTTCTAAAAGCAACTTCTTTTTTCCTCCAAATCATGACAACATTTGGCCAGGTTAGCAATTGCTGCAATGAGAACAGCAGCTTCTGGGGACTGGTGGGTGCCCTGCAGCGAACGTGCACAGGCAGAAGCATCTGGCTGTGGGATGCCGTTTAGTTCTTCTTGGCTTTCTTCAGATAGCGAGCCCTCACAGACTTGTTGAGACCCATGGATATTTTAAGGTAAATCCAAGAAGGCAGGATGGAGATTATTGAGCCCTAGAGAAAGAAATGGGGGAGATATGTAATTATAGCATACAATCTGGGCTAACTGAAGCCGATGACCTGATGTTACTAAATTTTAAGTATTTTACTTACAGGTAGATTTTAAAGTTCTTGGGGGTACAGTTTAAAATAATGCACAGATGCCCTGTTAGATTAACAATATACACTATTTTGTGTCACGGTTTTGTGACTCAATGAGAAAGAAAAATCCCAAAACCAGAAAGTACTGATGTGAGACTTAAAAATCAACATACCATAAGAGAATGGATCAGGTATCCATTGGTTCGGGACTGCAAGCCTACTGTTTTAACTGCAGATTTCACAAATGTCTCTGAAGAGGGCTTGTCCCAAGTTGGCTTTCGGATTTTAGCCAGTTTTGTAGCTACGTAGAATGGCAGGACACTCTAGAAAGACAAAACATGTCACTGATCAGAAGCCCACAAACTCAAAACTGACATGATGCTTGACTGACAGCTGTAGAGAAAGAAGAAAAGCAGCCATCTAAACACAGCCTGAGAGAACACATGAAGCATAAAACAAACTGTAGTAAGTCAATCCATGAATAAAACAGAATGAGACTGAGGAAAATATTCAAAAGAAATGGAAACACTGTCTGGAACCTTTAAAAGAAAGGCATTGAGGCTGGGGTTGTGGCTCAGCGGTAGAGCGCTCGCTTAATGTTGTGAGGCACTGGGTTCGATCCTCAGCACCACATAAAAATAAATAAATAAAAAATAAAGTCATTGTGTCTGTCTACAACTAAAGAAAAATGTTTTTAAAAAAAGAAAGAAAAGGAAGGTATTGATAGCAATCCAGAGAGCGGAGACTGAGGGAGAGGATGACCTGACTGAATGGAACACTGGTGTGCAGAACCAGTAAGTAAGAATTTTGACACTGTATCCTTCTAAAGAGATGGTACTCATTTCCCCCATAATTTATTATGAATTAAGCTTGCTCTATAAACTTAGTCCTACAACAGATATTTCATTTTCTTAGCCTTAAACTATCACTTTTCTTCCCTAATTTCTTAGCATTCTGATTCTGAGTTTTATAAACTTTGCTAGTGAGAGGATAGGACTACTTCTTTCTAACTTTTTTTTTTTTGGAGGGGGGCGGGGG